CCTATCTGTCTGTGAGTTTCTTGGGATCATCTGGACTGCGGTCCTAGATGTCGGAGGTCATTGTTACTCATCTCTCACCTTGACCAACCAATCAGGAACCTACAGAGCGTGGTAATCCCATGTGGGTCTGAAATGCCCACTAAACTTTCAACCAATCACCACCTTTCTTGGTCCAGGTTTAAAAGACACTGCACAGCTCAGAAACTTTGCTTCTCTGGCTAATATCCACACCCTCAGAGACAATAACGTGATGGCAGGTGCTGTCTGTTTAGGGACTGGAACCTTGTTTCAGCAAAGTGTCGGCCCGGGGAATGCCCATACGTAAACTGCTAGCCAACACCAACGTGGATGCTTTGCTTGATCACCGGAGTATACGTTTGGACTCTTGTCGGCAACCTGAATAAGTTTTTATTCAGCAGCAGTGCTACACCTGAAGCAAACCAAGTTTCTTCCCTCTAAAGAGTGACTTGCTCGGACCCGCGGTTACCCTCTGTGCATAGAGACTTTCTACTAGCCAGCCGGACTACTAGTAGGTCCCTGAGAGAGACACTGTCAGGCGTGTCACCACAGCAGAAATCTCTCCACCTAATTCATCTGATTCCGACCTACACCCCGACAGGTTGGCCGGGAGCCAGAGGATGCCAGGACAAAGCCTATTGACAATGCCGGACAACGCCGGGAAATACAAATCCATATCTGGATAAGTAAACCCAATGTTCTACATTGCATCTTGAGAATTCAATTGTTACCTCAACACAAGTTGATAACAATTAAATTCATACGAGTAATGTATTTACTTTTGAGTAGCTAATGTAGACTGATTAACGATAGTATAGCTGAACTGTGTACTGAAGCATATTCTTTGTATCACTTTGTGTTTTGCATCGCTTTGTGATTATATACCTTGCAGTTTGATAACCCTCACAGTAAGATCTGCCACTTGTATCCAGGCAGACTGTTATATGTTTTATGCACAATTTATGTATTAATAAATGTGTCTAGTTTATTGAATCCGTGTGTGCGTCGCTGATCGATTGATTTTCTAAAAGCCATTACGAACCACCTTGTGATTGCTGCTACAATTAATTGTCCCAGTAAATTGTCAAAAATAGGAAATAATAACGTGTGTTCCTCAAATAGACATTGCACGGTTTTAAAACCCTTTAAAATGTGTTTAGTTAAAAACACAAAACCCACAAAAAACGGGTGATTTTTCTTCCTTGTGATCGTCTTAGAATCTTTGTGAAAGTAGTAAATTTGTTAACTTTTTAATTAACCATTTTAAACACTTTAATTTTGTAAATGCAACATGCATTTCGTACAGATACAGTACAATTACATTCTCTTGTCTTCCCATTTCGTACAGATACAGTACAATTACATTCTCTTGTCTTCCCGTGGTGTGAAACGAATTAGCAGGTGGCTGAGAAAACAGCGAAGAGGCTGCACCAATTGTATTTCTGACTGTAATGTCACAGTTCAATATTTTATATACATCTAAATAAAGTCAGGCATTAGGTGCATAAACTATTAGTAATCAATAATTAGTATTCAAATTCACACTGTGATAAATTGTTACACTTCCACATCTTGTAAAAACATTAATTTGCAAAACTGTGTTCAAACATACAGTACGTTAAATCTGACTCAAAAACCCAGGGTTCACTTTTTTCCTGTCTCTCCCTACTCTCTCTCACCCACTGCGATTCAGACACAGAATGGTTAAAAATGGAAACAGGTCAGGCAGGCAGAGGGAAGGGGGAGGGGGTAGGTGTCTTCCCACCTCTATGACTACAAATAGGACAATAATTTATTTGTTTGAAAAACAAACATCAAATGTTCCCAGAATGTCCCCTTGTGATATTTTAGCTGCTTAGTTACACGACCCCATATTAATATTACTATCAAGAGGTATTAAATAAGTACAACTTTTATGAAATTCAAGTATTTTTAGTTTTAGTAAAATAAAAAAGCGTTTTTTAATGAACTAAACCATTTTTACAGCTTTTAAAGTCATGCAATTTTTGAGTTAGGCTGGAGCTCATCATTGTATCTTATTTTGATTTATTTTTTTTTAAATAAAACAAATCGTTTCCCCATCATGTTGATAAGCTGTTCCCTGATTACTGGCAATTATAAAAAAAAATCCTTAACCCCTCCCTCATTTAATTTAAAATTTCTGTGAAGAAATCCTTAAAGATAAAATCATCACGTATAAAAATGTAACGTTTTCGGGTTCTCGTGTTTGTGCCCTCACCGCTCCCACCTCAGGTCGGCCCTCTGGCATCACTCAACAGTGAACCAGCCAGCTGAGCTTAAGGGAGATCTCCCCTCAGCCCGGGCACTGAGATCCCTGTTATTCACAGGGAATGGTGGTGACGTCACCACGCTGGCAACCAGCTCGCACAACATGTAATGTCAGCCGTATCTGTTACAATGATTCATCCAGCTGGTTCCCTGTTAAATTATGCTGACGGACCAGGTTCAATTCCAGGTGGTGTACTATATAGTACAGTTTAAACTTTTTTTTTAATTCCAAGTTAAATTGTTGGCTGATTACTGCCTGGTGACATTTGGATTAAGACAAAATATGGATTTTCTCAATTTGGGTGTAAACCTGAAAGAGATACATCACATTCACAATAAGCTATAATAGTGGACTATTTTATGCATTCGGCTCTATGAGAAACAGACCGCTTTGAACCGGCTGGGCGCAACTCACTACTTTGTATGAAGTACAGAATATAAGCTTAATAATGTTAGAACAAGCACGTTAAAAATGATGCGGTATATTGTGTCATGCCCACCACGTTTTAACGCAGCATTCCTTGCGCATTTTGAATGGCTGTATCTAAATACCTGGCAAGTTCGAAGTTCTGACCTGGCCTTTTACCCAGTTATTCTGAAACTAAAGAAAGGGTGGGTTTCTCTTTGGCCTCTTTCTACCAGAGGTATACCAGAGATCAGCTCCAGTACCTCTCAATTTAAGACTGTCTGTGCTCCGAGGGCCATGAAGCACAGATCTGGTACCTGTTTGTGACATGAAAACTTAAACATTTATCTTTACAATTTACAATAAATTAAAAAATATATCTTGTTGACTTTTCTAAAAACATTTCCACAAAAAATCCTCATTTGTGTCGATACCCATTGTGACATTGTGGAAGTGGGAGGAGCCATGGCAAGCACCAGTAAAAAGTTGATCCCCCCTACCGAGAGACAGAAGCACCAGTGTGAGATTAGCAAGGATCAAAATTAACACACAAAAAAAGATAAAAAATCAAAACAAAAAGCAAAAAGAAAAATGTGCCACTGTCCATCACAACATCCAGGCTGGGCTTACCCTATTTAACGGGGTCCAGTCTGGAAGAGAATGGAATGCAAGGCCAAAACAAAATAAAAATTCAAAGTGTGAAAAAGATTTTCCCAGTAGAGATATATAATGGGACAGGCAAAAAGAAAAATAAAATAAAATTAAGTAAAATGACGATGCTCAGGTACAATCCCAGTGGACCTGCTCGTCCCTTTTGGGGTGTTCAGTGTGCTTTAAAAGAGCCTTTCAGAGCTGTGGCTCATCCTCAAGCAGCCAGAACAGCTTTGGCTAATAAAATAACACATCACCTTTCCTCCAGGGCTCTGCCACCACAATGAACATGCTCCTGCATAATGGCCACACCATACAGCCCCACTACAGATAATAGTCGACAATATATTATGATCCAGAAGGTATATGTGTATAGTTCACATCCTGCTTACACCACCCAAGACCTTATTTGAAAAGCCTAAAAAAACAGCTTCAGGTAAGCTAAGAAGCCAGTAAACAAGGATGATAAAAGGGAGCTTCTGGTGGTTTACTCTAGTTAATTTCATGGTAAGTCAGTAGAGCCTTCCACTGTCATAAAATACAACATAAAAGGAAGAGACAGGAAAGACAAAAAAAGAAGGGAGACACAGGGAAAGTAAAGAAGACAGAGTTAGTTATATTTTCAATAATAAATATTTGCTTCTCTATCAGGTTTGTCTCTTTTTATTACTCTATCTCCTGAACTGTGCGCAGAATATAAATAACATATATGCATTTCCAACAGACCTCTTTGGTACTTGAAGACCCCACTATTTTATCTATCCTGAGACAGTATCAAGCCCTCAATAACAGATTCCACATTAAAATCCATATTTTGTCTTAATGCAATTTTCAGCAACAAGTTATCAGGAAATAATTATGCTTTAAATTCTGATTACAAAAAAATATTATTATTTTTATTAGTAAAAAAATATTAACAGTACAGCATATTTATATAGTAAACTGATCATTGACTTGCACACCACTGTTTTGACACATATGACTTCATGTAATTCACATGTGTGGCACGTCAGGAATTGTAGTCTTTGTTCACTTATTTCATTTTTGTGGCCGATTTTTCAGTACAGTACATTCTGTGAACAAAATATGTTACATTCAAAACAGACCATACCATCTCATGATAACAATGGGATTGCACCACTTTTAATCACACAATGTGCCAATGTGCTGTTGAAAGTAGCATTAGAGCAGCTTGTATCTCTAGATGAACTGTACAGTAACGGTGGTGCTGTGGCCTTGAGGTTTAAGAGCGAAGAGCAAGCTGAGCTCAGAGAAAAGCCTCCCTCTGGAGACTTTGGAAATGCTATTGAGTGATGAAGCAGCCTGATTAAGAAAAAGAAGTATAAATAATGCAGGCCAGACATAGTCTGTGGACAGGCTGGCTTAAATATAGTTGCAGTTCTATCACCCCTGGAAGCTAAGTAAGTGTGAGCCTGGCCAGTATCTGGATGGGAAAGCTAAATTTGCTGCTGGGAGAGATGTTAGTGGGGCATTCCTTATGTCTTAGGATAATAAGGGAAGAAGACTATACTGTAAAAAAAAGGCACCATTTTTCAGATGAGACATAAAACTCAGGTCCTGACTTTCCATGGTCATTGAAAATATCAGGGTGTTTCTCAAAAAGAGTAGGGGTGTTAGCCTAGTGTTCTTTACCAATAATGGCCTCCTAATAATCCCCATCTGCACATCCGATAAGCACTTTGAGGAAAGAGTCCAGAAAAATAAAATGAATTATTATTATTGTGAATTACTTGGAGGAGACAGTGGGGGGAAAAAAGGTAGGAAGTAAGGAAGAGTCACAATAAAGCAGTGAGGGCGAAATCCCTAATTAGTATAACTTACAATGGTTCCTCAGTGATATCTGGATAGGAGTGGAATGTTAAAAAGGCTCCAAGTCATTTTCCATAATATAACTTTGTGGCATTACTCTGCCCATACATTAAAGCTCTCTGAAGTCATGTATTCAGAGATCATTTCACAATACTAATTTACATGTTCTATGCACTTTATAGTACATCTGGCAAAAATCAAAAAGAGCTTTAAGAATGCACAGATAGTTTATATATTCAACTGTGCAAAACTGTCATAAACGTCTGCAGCAGGGAACAACTCAACAGACGGTACATACAAGAATTGTCAAAACTGTCCTGTGAGCTTCAAAAGGAAGACTGTAAAATTATTTAAGCACATCGGGACATTTTCAGTGAGGGTGTTTGAAGCCATGGCGGAACTCACTGGGAGATGCACCAAATTGAGTCAGAGGAGAGTCAAGGATAACATTTTTCCTAAAAGCATGAAAAAAAAGCCAGAAACAAGAAGCTTTGACAAAATCAGTGTTTTCAGAGTTCGGTGCGGAACATTGAAGAATGTATGATGTCAAAAGGAGGACAAATGGCAGACAAAACAGGACATAAAAAGCAGATAAAAAAACGAGATTCTTTACAAGCAATATTAGCCTGAGGAGTAAAATGCATTTTATAGGAAAAACACAGTAGGGTTCCCCTGCCAGCACACAGCACTAATTGACCATGTACTACCATACAGACATAAAGGCAGTTCGGGGAATGTAATGAACAAGACCTAAATTGCAATTTCTAGTACATATTTGTTTCTATATTTTACCTGTTTCAGGTCTCTCTGTTCCCAACCCAGCCAAGAGGTCCACGGTTCGATTCAGATCTTCAGAATTGGGTCCATTTTCTGACACCAAACCACAGAGGCAACCCAAAGACTTTAACTGATGGAGACAATTAAATAATAGAATGACACAGAAACGATTATATTATCAACTTCAGTGCAGAATATGGAATGCCACAGATACAAAAAAAAGTTATTGATAATAACAACATTAGCAAGAAGTGCTAACAATGATTGGCATATTTGAAATTATTAAATTGACTGCACAGAAAGCATTTTATTTGAAAAAATTAAATGACTTCATATACTGTATATACTGTATTTAAAAAAACAGAATGAAAGCAACAAAAGAATACTGAATAAAAAGTCAGGCAATATGTCACCATGCGTAAAGGCACTACACAGGGTTCTTATGCCTGATATTACTTAGCACATAAATCAATAATATTCTGCAAGATTTGCATTTCAGTGTTCATTAGTGAAGAAATGTGAGTTTAGTTTAGCCTGGGTAGTGGGAATGACTCTTACTAGACTCTGGATAAATCTTTGTCTGAAACCTTGTAGGTAGTAGAGTAGGACAAGGAGGAACTCAAAACTTCATACTGAACTTCTAAAAATGACAGCACATCCTGGGGATGTGATGGATTCACATACACCCACTCTCCGGGTTCTTTAAGGGTTCAGTTCGGCAAGTCTCTACATAACCCGAATCTTTAGGCTTTCAGATATGACCCTTTCTTAGCAGTTGAGTTAATACCTGTAGAGAATAACTTTCACAATATTGCACTGATCCTCCCTTATTTGCCCTAGATTTGTCCGCAAATGAGGAAGGAGAGACAGGAGAGCAGAATTACCAGCTCCCCAGGGTTTATTGGCTTATATACAGTATGGTTATCACAGAGGGGCACAGAGAGCAAAAGACAAAAGAAAGTAGCAGCAGATCCCAGTTCATGAGGTAGAAAGGAGAAAAAAAAGGGAAGTTCCTCCGTGTATTCAGGGGAGAGATATTATATAAGTAAAAACATTTTAAACATAACAAAAAGAACAATCAAACATGAAATAGCTTACACTTAAAATTAAATTAAATAAATTAGAGAAAAGTACATTTTTAAAAATGTCCAAAACCTGCATATGAACCTAGACAGTAAACACTGTTCAGTAAACACAAAATACAATGCACAATAAAAAATAAAATCACTTCAGTGTTACCATAACATGATGTGGTACAATAAAGATTACTCACAATATTTTCAATGAAAAAGATTATATGCAGAGGTGGCCACATGTGCTCAAATGTAAAGCGAGACAAAAATGTAGAATAGTCCTGATGGACACTGCATTATGCTTACTTGGCACTAACCATCCGCAGAAAAAACTTGCCACACAAATTGTTCTTTATTTAAACTTTCCTTCTCTAGAAAAAATGGAAGGTTTTTATGTTATTTCAACTTTGTGAAAGTCAAGTCTTACATAAAACTGGATGAAGGTGTAGAAAACATGGGGCCTCTGACATGTATATAGGTAAGACAGGCTTCTGACCCCTAAGTCCTTCTTCTTTCTGTTAAGACTGCTATCACTTACCAGAAAAAAATCTGAAGGTTTTTTAAAGAAAAACATGCTTCAAAGGCAGTAACTACAGTCACAAAAAGTAGAAACTGGTGTTGCTCTGGTTTAAGAAATTCTAATCCAGAAGGAAGAGTGGCAACTATTCATCCATCATCATAATTCACCACAGCAATCGGGATATTCTTGCCAAGCCTTGTTTAGCTTCTGACCCCCTGACGAATGCTGTCAGGTAGGCCATAAAGACAAAAACAGTTTTAACTATTTGCTTACAAAAACTTAAGTGTCCATGCTCTTTATACACAAACTTTCTCCACAAAATGTGAAAAATATTTACAGACCTGTTTCTGTTATTATGATGTCACTTGTGGCATTTATGAGTTTCATGAGATATGACTAAATGATATACTGTTATGTATATCCAAAGTAAGGTCTATTAAAAAAACATGATACCCAAAGCTGCAATTACTTCGGTTCTGTACTGTCCCTTTTGTTACCACACAGAGAGAATAACTGGAAGTGATGCTTCAGGGATGACTAATGTGCAATAAACCAATGCTACATTTAAAATACAACCTTTTTAAATCAACCACTATCTTACATTAACACCACTTTTTCACGTTTCTAGCCCTTCACTACTTGTCTTATAATTAATTCCTCTAAAATGTGCCTATTAATACTTTTTAAATTCTAAACTTACTAAATTAACTAAACATCTTTAATACAGCTGGCTTACAAAATCTGTGAACAGAAATATTATTTATTACTTATTTAGGATGTTACTCCTCCTACCATCTTTACTTTTCAGGAAAAGTTACATTCTCAGGGATATTGTTTGTAGGCTTGCTCTTCTAAATCACTTGGAATTTAATTAGAGACTTTTGCCTAATCCAATTTTAATTCCATTCAAGATTTCCACCTTATCCTGGAAAATTATCTAAAGGTCACAAAGAATCCCAGAATAACATCTAGGGATCTGTAGGTCTCTCACTGCAGGTTATTTCAGTGCTGATGTGTCAAACCACTGTTTCCTAAAAATAAGGTTGTAATATCATCTAAGAGCTCCTGGACCACCCACAATACTGGAAAAATGTTCCAACGTTTGACTCCTTTATCCAGAAAAAGGATTGTCTATGATGAAAAATATTTTGCGTAGCAAATACCAAACCCTCTCTTCCAACAGTAGAACCTTATCCCAATCACTAGTCATGATGGTATCATGGTTTATGGCTGCTTTGCTGCCTCAGGAACCAGGTGACTTGCAATCATTAAAGTAATCATGAATTTGCATTGTTTCAGCAAATTCTAGAGGAGAATGTCAGGTCATCCTTTCATCAACTGAAGCTAAGCCAAAAGTAGGTCATGAAGCAAGACAGTGACCCTAAACACACAAGCAGATCTACAACAGAACTACTGAGCCAGAAGAAACTGAATATTAATTAATGGGTCTGAACCTAAACACCATTGAAATGTTGCAGCTGTATGAAAAACAAGCTGTTCCTGCAAGGACACCCATAAATGTTATGACCTGAAGCAGTTCTGTAAGGAAGAAAATTAAGGGACAACATTCCTAGAGATCAATGCAAGAGACTGGTTAACAGATACAGTAAATATCTGCTAGATATTTAATCTGTTCTAACCTTATTGAGGATGGTGTTTACTCAGGATTACTTTATAATTTTTTAAAAGTTTACTCCATCAGTTTACTCCAGTTTGTCACAACTTAGATCCAGATACTATTTAGTTTTTTTAACCCAATTTTTTCCTCGGTTTTTATTTAGTTTTTGGCAAACATTATTAATTATTTTTTGTGCACTGAAAACATTGCTCTCACTATTTAAATGAAATGAAAGATTGAAAATACAGGCCAATTTCTAATCTCCTGTTCATTCAGGTTTTAGGTCATTACATAATACTCTAAAAATTCTGTTAAAGGAGTTAATGATTTGTTTATAACATCTGATTCTGGTAGACTGAGTGGACTCCTTATACACTTTGATATCTTAGATCACAAACACTCTTTACTAGGCATAGAAGTATTATTTTTCACACTAACTCACTCTGTGGCATCCATCTTTCTATCTTTCATTAGTTCTCTTCATTATTATTCCTTCATTATTATTTGGTCAAGTATATTTCTAAATAACAAACCCTGGCAACCGTGACAGAGTAGCCATCAGTCTGATGGCTTCTTCTCTCTTCTTCTCTCACTCTCTCATAGACCATCAATTCTTCTGCAACTCTTGAGGCAAAAGGCATAATATGGACTCAATCTCTGATGTCTAGTCTCCCACCCTCATTTGTGGGAAAGATATGCTGCTACCTTGTCAAGCAATGATGACTCCTCCAGGTACTAACACCTTCTGTCAGTTCTGATCCAGTTCAAATCAACTTTCTCCCTCGGTAGCATACTTCTACATTAGTCCTGGAAAACAACGCAACCACCCTGTCCAAGACATGTGATGCCCCTCAGTACAGACTTTGTTGTATCTTCTTCAAGTCCTCCTATGTTGCCAAGTCCCACAGACTGGTTAGCCAGCCCAATCAAACAAAAACCCCTATAAGTGGCACCGTCACTTTCTTTCTGTCCTAGCTCAAGCCTAAGCACTGACTGAATCCCTTACTCGGTCCTTTTCCTTATGTAGAATTCCACTCTCTCTAAGTGTTCAAAACTATTAGGCCAGCTGTACATAATTTATTAGCTTTCTCAAAAAACAGGGAGCCATTCTGGCTCAGTCACACCTTTGACCTTTGGCCTGGTTTTCTTTGGATAATTTTGTCTTTGCAAATACATATGACACTTCCTTAAGTTTGTAACACTTCCTTGGTCTCTGAATGACTCAGTTTTCTTAGGTTTAGTAACCATGCACTGGTTTAAAAGTCATTGGAAGAACATTGTTATGGTTCTAGAGTTTCATCTTTTTACAGTTTCACAAATTGATTTTGCTCCATTTGACCTTATATGAATCTGAGTAACTAGATACTGCAACATTTTCTGGACCAGATTACTGTAATGCTTTTTAGCTGAGGCCTCTTTGTTTATAACAGGCCTTAGTATGTCCATTAATCTGCTACACACATTTTAACCAATATTTATAGTAAACATACCATGTTCTGACTGCTTTGGATCACCTGTCTGAAACATTCAGGGGGTTTTTAAAATTCATTTCCTGAATAACAGGGCCCTCAAACAATCTGGAACCTTGTCATTGCAGAAAACTAGTTAACACCTGTAACCCAACATGGTGTGTTCTGACACTAGACTAGTGAGTTTCCAAATCAGACTGTTTTATTATGTGTGATGGTGCCTTCTACAGTACATGTTTCTAAAATGAAATTTGCTACATAAAATTATAATTAAAGATCTAATTTTATTTATTTTGAAGGTGAGCCTTCATGAATTTTGAGGACTGTTCTTTCACTATTTCCAGTTATTCAGTAAAGAAACTATGTTGCATGTTTCTTTTTCTAACATCAATGCATTTAATACTTCTTTGTACCATAACAAACCTGGGGGTCATTGAAGCATAAGCATTACATACCTTCTCAGTGGCATATGTCCAGAGCCCAACTGTGTGTGAAATATTAGCCTCCAGCTGTGCTCGATCACAGCAGCCCTCTATTCTCTGCAGCACCTCTAAGCAGCTCAGGAACACCCAGCAGTCCAAAGAGCCCTGTAGCACTGAAACCTGCAACAGCAAAGCCAGGCAAAATAAACACTGGGGAAGCTCAGATACTTTAAGGCCATGTCTCAGTAACATTATTATTTCACATTTTGAAAAAAGCTCTGTAAATTACTAAATTAAAAAGCTTTTCTTTTAGGCATTTTTATTTTATTTCCTAATCTCACCTATTATTTACTCATTTTATGGCAGGTTCGACTTGATTCTACTTAGATTGTGTTTTGAATTTCTCAATTCAATTCAATTTCTAAACTGAATTTCTGATTAAACCTGATTTATACAATTGTAAGCTGCTTCTACGGACTGCCAGGAATAAAACAGATAACGCATCCAATCGATTCAAATGATATGCTATACAATTTTTATTAATAAAATAATTAAATGTGCAAAGCAACCAATATAAAAGTGACTGATTCAATTTGCCATTATACATACAAAAGGCTGTTAAATTATTCAGAGATTACAAGAGATAATAACAACAGGGTTAAACATACAATGACTATAGTTAATAGACCAACTAATCAGTCTCGTATACTGTTGCAGCCACTCAAGATGACTTGCCATGCCACAGTGTGATGTGCCACACTGCCAAAAGATTCTTCATTGACCAAAGCTATATCACCCTGCAACTCACAACTGGCAACCCACTGAAGCTAAGCAAATGTGAGCCTGGCACTAGCTCACTGGATCACTCCTGGATAGGAGACCTCCTGGGAAAGCTAAGGTTTCTGCTAAAAGAGGAGTAATGCCCCAATAGAGTGACAGAAACACTATACTGTAAAAAGGCGCTGTCTTTCGGATGAGACGTAAAACAGAGGTCCTGAGTGGCTGTGGTCATTAAAAATCCCAGGGCATTTCTCGAAGTGTAGGGCAGTTACCCCAGTGTCCTGGCATAATTTCCCACTGGGCTTTACCAATCATGGCCTTTGTGGCATAACACGGAGGCCTGGATTAAGGGCCTGTCCTGGCTAATAAAGGACACAAGGAACCCTTTAAGTACACACTGAACACCTCCACAGGGAGACGAGCAAAACCCCTGCAAGGGAAGAAACATCCAGCGACAGTTCTGGAGGGGATTGTGATGTGAGAATAAGGCTGTAATTTTTTCTTTTTGTTTCCTCCTGTCCCACCGTGTATCTCCCACCAGGGCAGGTTGAGTTTATTTTGTGTTTGGTCTTGCACCAGTCTGGACCTCATTTAATAGGAAAGCCCAGTTTGGATATTGCTGTGCAAAGCAGTTTTTTTGTTTATTTGCTAGCTTCACACCAGTGCCTCAACCCTCAGATGGGGTGTCACCTTTTACTGATGATCACCGCAACTCCTCCTACTCCCACATTGTTACACCACCTAATAAACCCCATCCATGAATTGGCTTCACCACTCTGTTCGCCTCCCCACTAACAGCTGATGTGTGGTGAGTGCACTGGCACAGTATGGCTTCTGTCGTATCATCCAGGTGGGTCGCACATTGGTGGTGGTGTAAGGAAGTCTAGAGTGGAGTGTCCAGAAAAACGCTATATAAGTGTAAGGTATTATTATTATTATTATTATTATTATTATTATAGGTATTACTTGAGGTGCGTTAGATGTTAGTGAAAATATTAGCTTCATTTAATCTGTTTGACTACTTCTTTAAATCCACTTAATATGAAATATTAATATGGAATCATATAACTAAAGGTAAATATTTGTAGTTTAAAATAAAAACGTGAAAAGTTTCCAAAGGTCATTATATTAATTAATTAATATAATCATATTGATATAGCTGGCAGTTGCAGCTGAAAATAAAAAATAAGTTACACAACAGTATTCCACTTGCTTCATAAACATCTGCATTGACTTCTTTAACCTGGTTATTTTGGAAAAGTTTTGACACGCTTATTTTAACTGCATTTTGTTGTCATTATTGTTGCAATAGAAAATGCAGCACTTGTAGGTTCACTGAAACTCTTGCAGAAAATGGAAAAAGTAACACTTTTCAATTTTGCTTTTCCAAACTAAGTATTGCTTTGGCAGTGGAACAGTGGAATTCTAGCCTGACATCTGGAAGGTCTGGGTTTGATTACTGGTCATGGCACAAGTTGTACTTTTAACAAATAAAGAATCTTTAATAATAAATATAATACATAATATGGATACTATATTGACAATGTAATTGTTTTATATATCACAGTATGTTAAATATTAAATTAATATTAATAATTAATCAATAACATTATATTACAATAACAATGAACCTTAGTATGTTGATATGGCAAACGTGTAAATGGGTGGAATGAAACCAGTGCTAAAAGTCACACCTATCTTCAAGATGCTGTGAGAGAGA